CTGCGTTTGGAAACTAAGATTTGGATTTAGAATGTTGATTTAAAATAAAAGGATTTTAAATCTAGGATTTGAAATCCATGATTTGATAGAATCTTTTGTTTGGATGTCTTTACAAAATGCAAGAATTTGAAATCAAAGATTTAAAATATAGTGTTTAAATACACTTTATTATACATGAACTTGGTTTTAAAAGGACGAGAGACTTGTCATGCACAAATAATACTTGGAGAAGTAATTCAAAACCAAAATTGATCACATCGATAGCAATTATAAATACTCATGCAAACATCTCATCCTTCATGAATCAATACGAGAGAATACAAACAATAGTAATAATGCCCAAATATTCATTATAATAGCATTTTTTCATGGTTTTATCCATTACCACATTGACTTTCAATTTCCAAAATAACAAGAGTACTACTTTAAAAATTAACCATGATAAAAGACTTGACGACACAAAAAAGTATAGCGAACAATTCACATAAGAAGCTTTAGGCTACACAATAAGTCTTCATTTAAAACACAACGTACTATACGTGGTAGATAACCACGATTTGCTACAACAAGCTAAATTAGCACAACATAAACTACTAAAAGAAACCATAACAAGATTCGTCTATTTATCCTTCGAAGTCTTCTCCTCCTTTTTCTCCTATGCTTCTAACTCATGTATCGGAGAACTTAATGGATCCTACATTAAAAAATTTAGCATCAATTAGTTCATGAAACAAAATATGCTCTAAAACAGAAATAATATCAACTACAAAGGCAAATCACAAAAATATTATTTAAGGTTTGTGCATCTTTAACAAAAAGACCATCCATCCCCTTGAAGATTTATCGATGGAACATCACTTCAAAGCCATGACCAGCTATTAACGTCAAATGTAACTTAGACAAATTAGAAAGAATGCAACCTTATAAAAAGTAGTAGGCTTAAAATATAAACAAAATAAACTTTGAACCAATATCTAACAATTTAAAATTTGGACTAAACTCTTAGCTGAACTACGGTCAGGTGTTTGGCCTCTGCATACGCGATAATCTGCAACAGAATTGGATCTTGATGTAGCTAGAGTCATATGCACAATCATTAATCACAGCTTACTTCACAACAGTCCAATTCATCACAAAATCTGAAGATGCACAGGACTTACACGAAACTATCCTTAATTCAACAGTTTCAATACTTTAAACATATAAGTTTGGAATATTGATTCCAGAAGTCATACCAAAGTACAACTTACATGTATCAGGAAATACCAAAGGATACTGCAAATAAAAACACAGAAACAAACACGAATAGGGAAAATGCCAATGATAAAGCCGTAGATAAACTTAGCCATGGTAACCTAATAACATATGTTGCTAAACATTCGCATGTACAACTCTCAGCACAATCAGGTTCTAGTGAAGTAGCATAAAGGAGATATAGTGATATTCATATACAATCAAATCAAATAACCAAGCATATGATGATACTTTCACAGGACTAAAAAAGAAAAAGAAATCAAATCAAAGAACCAAACTGCAGGGTCGAAAAACTCCAAAGTAAAAGAGGGGTTTAGGTAGTTTTAGCTGGTATTGCAAAATATGTTCAACATTAAACTGAAGAACATAGACCTTAAAGACAGGAGAGAAATTAACTGAAACCGATGATGGATGAGCTGCATAGAAGGTGCAAAAGGAATGAATCACTACAGAAATAATGTCTACTACAAAGGCAAATCACAACTATAAGTGTGCATCCTAACATAATTCATTTTAATGATACAGTGGTAGAACCTAGTCATTACTACAGCCACCAGCAGGGACCATCAAATAGTTAAATGCGTAGTAAGCAACAACAATCATTGTATTATTTTACTGATTAGAATGCATTTTGCATAAAAACTTTGCAGGAGCAATTATATTAACTTCCAAAGATGATATATACATGGAGAAAGGGCTCATCTGGTGCTCATATCAGTATATCACATCCTATGCTTGTCTTAATTCATAATCTAATTTCTAGTATTTGGTCACGGAAAGACCGGAGATCCTATTCATTGAGTTTTCCAGCTCCAAGCACATTCTATTAGGGCAACAAAAGAAGCAGCAAGCCATTATGACAATTGGAAATGAGTATGTATCAGTCACCAACAACCAAGAAGCAATACTTAAGTCTTTTTACAGCCATTGCCCAATTCGAGTACATGAATCATGCTTTAACAACAATCAAGCCTACTCAGACATTCTATCAAACAGCACCAGCACAGGTTTGCGCTGCAGATACATGAGGTGACAACTACAATGTAGCAAAATATAAGATGATCACTACTAATCGAGCGAAAAATCAATTCAGTCAGCATTCCTAGTTCCATGAATAAAAAAATCTGTTCCATCACCAGAAGAGAAAAATAATCAACCTCTACTATCAAAAACTTCAAATAAACAACATCCCAAGTTCCATGAGGGCTTACATCTTTCAGTTAATTCATATAAAATTACTCTCAGAATAGATTTTTAGAACTGATTTAACACCTAAATAATGATATACATGATCAAGACCAAGAAAACTGAAGAAAATAAGGGATACCCACATCCTCAGATCCCAAAGAAACACCCAAAAAAAAATTTAAAATTTAAAAACAGCAAAAATTGAAGCCATACCTTGAATCCCAATCAGAAATTGCAGAAACATGAGGAGAGCAACCGAAAGAGAGGAGAAAACAAGCTACAAAAGAGAAAAGCCAAGTCTGAGTTCAACAAAAATTTGTTCTCACGACCTAGGGTTTTGACGAGTAATCATCTCATATTTTGCTTTGATCTAGGGTTTTGATGGAATGGGGAGAGAGAGGAGAAAGGGGGAGACCGAAACCCTAGCTCAGATCTAAGGTTTCAACGAGAGAGGAGAAGGAGGGAGGGGAGGGATAGAGGTTACCTGCGTGCGTTGAGATAGAACTTGGAGTCGGGATCGGGACTGAGAAATGAGAGAGAGGAGTCGGGATGGGGATTTAGTCTGGTCTGGATTTGGCAAATACCTAAGGGCAGGCTGTGATTTGAAATATTAGAATTTGGGCTTTCAAATTCTCCTCTTAAAAATAATTAGATTTGAAATCTCAGCCCAGTTTAAAACCCAAACTAAAGATTTGGATTTGAAATACCTTGGATTTTAAATCCAAGACCCAAATCCAAGTTTCCAAACACAGCCTAAAATCTCTTATATATAAGGGGTATTCAAATTTTTACATTGCCAGAATCTGTTACTGCTTCAACTGCCTCAATGGTCGTGCCATAAAGATTACCATGTACTGATGTAGATTTAAGGAATCTCCCTTCTTGTATAGCTTTCTCCATTGGGCTTTGTTCATTGAAATGGTAGTGAACCCCATTGACTTCTATCTCTCTCGGAGCTCGACTTGTGTGGCTTACAGAAAACCCAAACATTGATGGGTATTCTTTCATTAGCTTTGATCTTACAGAAAACCCAAACATTGATGGGTATTCTTTCATTAGCTTTGATATCAGAGTTCCCTTGCCGACTTTTTAGGGGCCACTGATTACAATTAGATTTAGGCCACTGCCTCTGACGCCTTACTCCAAGCTACCACTTCTGTTCCAATTCACCTATTTTGCTCTTTTATGACTATTTGATTGAATTGGAACTACCATCAAAATACATATCCTACGAAATATGCTAACACAATGTTGTATTGCCGATGATTAGCTACCAATGATTTCACATAAATTACACATGTAGATTTCGAATTCATGCATTTGGCCAATGCATTTGATCTGTCTTCACCATATTCAATAGTAACCTCTAAGGATGTTCAAATATGCTATCAAATCCACCATCCTCTATGTAAATCTGTTGAGATTCTTATGTTGTTTTCTAATGATATGTCATTATCCAAATCATATCAAGCAATTAACTATAAACTGTCAATTTCATAAAGTCTGAAATAGAAGATGAAAATAATATGAAGATTACAAACCTCAAGAAAGTAGCTTCAATCAGCAAGAGGAGACCTCCCCTTAAGGATCAAGATCTGATTTTTATTTATAAGAACTTCTGAGTGGCATTCAGATGAAATGGGCTTGGTACCCAATGTAGTAGGAAAAGATTTCCCAATTCCATGAAAATTTAAATAATTAAACACTATATGGACCTCCCCTTAAGGATCAAGATCTGATTTTTATTTATAAGAACTTCTGAGTGGCATTCAGATGAAATGGGCTTGGTACCCAATGTAGTAGGAAAAGACCTCCCAATTCCATGAAAATTTAAATAATTAAACACTATATGCTAAAGTAGCAAATGAGCAAGAATTAGTTGAGATTGAATCTCACAATTTTCATGTTAACTTATCAAGAATTTTGACTCCAATCACTGAGCCAGCATATTCCTCAGATCCTCCAATTAAATACTGAACAATGAAAGTTGACACAATTAGATCTTGCAAGATATTTATCACATAATGCAGCAAAACCATAGAAATATGTCAATCACATGAACTTACAATTTTATCGCCGACATAGGTGGAAGTCTGATAGCCTTGGGTCTCTGAAACATACCCAACAACTTGAAATTTATCTTTGTTCCCTATGAGATACTGTGTAGCCTCTTCCCCCTATTCATAATATATTCAGGAAAAGACCTTAGCATAAACTCAATCATCATATTTCTCACAACGATACAACTACGTATATTTCTCAATGATCAAACTCACCATGAAGCAGTAAACTTTCTTAAGTCAAAGTTTCGATCTCTTGACAAGAGAAAATAGAGATAAACGCAAGTAACGCAAAGAATAAAAGCAGTAAACACGAGAACTACATGAGAAACACAACAAATATGTGACCCCTAATTTGAGCGGTTTCATGAAATCCATATACCAAATCAATTAGCATAATCAAGATAGACAATAATATTACAATGGATAGAAATAACCTGCATGTTAAGCAACATTCAGAGCTGATATCGCAGACATCTTCTTTAATTTTGATCTCCACTGTTACCAATTTGGAAACTTCTCTCATAGAGAAACATATTAGCTGTCCAAGATATCTAAATTCCATAAGATTTGAAGCACAAATTCCTATCTCAACAAGTTGGTTGCAATGCCTCACATTCAGAATCTTGAGTCGCGAGAATGGACCCATGATGTTCAGAGTGAAAAAACCGCGACATGTTATGAGATCCAATCTCTTAAGGAACAAACAACTTGTCAATAAATTGCCCACATCCTCATCTGTAAGATATATATATCTTCAAGTAAAACAGTCTCGAGAGTAGTAAAATTGGTTATATTGAGTGCAAATTTGCTCCCTCTTAAATTCAAATGCTTCAGAAGTTAAGGTTTTCCTGCTGCAGTGGAAAAATCATTACCATCATCATCTAAAAGCTGGAAATTTAGTCTCGAGATCTTATGTGTATTCTCCCCAGAAAACAACACAAATTGCTTAACATTTGTAGTCTTCACAATGACCATATTTATTCCTGAACAGTTTGACACTTTTGCAGACTGAAGATGAACCAATCCATTTATCTCTAAAATGGATGGATAAAATAGCAAAAAAGAACAATCACCAAAGGTCAATTCTTCCACAGAAAAACACAAAAAATTGTAATTAAAACTTCAAAATAATTTAGATCATCAATAATAGAACCACAAACAAAAGAAATACTTTAGACGTATGCAACCGGCCCTCAACAGGATTCCAAAATCCTGTAAAGTTTCACCATGTTAAGCATAAGCGCCATCAAGAACGTAATTACAGTTAAACCAACCAAAGACAAGGTAAATGAGAAAGGAGCCCCATGTTCAGAATACAAAACTGCCTGTCACAAATTTTGATGCAAACATACTGGTTCATAAAAAGGCACTTCAAAAGAGGCAAGGCAATCAAATTATTTCAATTGAACGGTTGCCAAAAGTTGAGATCAAGCTTCATAAACTTTAAAAACATCCTAAATAGTAGTAGAAAGATTAAATTGATATAGGCAACATATATACTCTGGTTAGAATTAGACCCTCAAGGATTCAGGTTATTGTGGTATGTTGAATGTCCTTACCTCTCTGGAATGTGGTTCCACGTACCAGATTCGGGTGAATATACCACGTACCAAATCCTCAAACACAAACTGCATGAATAATTTTATAGAGAGGAAAATAATAAATGAATTGGGAAACACAAACGTGCGGCATTAGATATAGACGGTGGAGGAAACTGAAGATAAGGTGAATGAGCTGTGGCTGTAACCAAGTTAGTCGAGAATCTTGATGTTGCTGCAGAAGAGAACAATGACAATGTGGCTTGCCGATGCATTTGCCATCCCCAAGTGGGGAGAGCTTGCAATCCCCATTCAGGTTGCTTCCTCTGGGCTCCTTCCTGTAATTCATTCATATGCACCATGAATCTTATCTAATTTGAACATAATTAAAGAATGAATCAGTGATGAAGTACAAGCAAGAAGATGGATGTAAATGATGACGGGTAGACATTTTTTGAATAGATGGAAAGTGCTGGAAATGATGATATTTTGAGCAACAATGGTATAAGGTTTCCAATTAACTAAAACATAGATTTTGTCGGGTGCAGGAGTAGTGCATTGTATTTACTATATTTTGGGAGTATGGATTGAAGCTTTGGTTCACCAAATTATTTCTTGAATCTTTGTAGATGACTTTTGCAAAAGTAGATAAGTCACTTAGCTTGCCATGAAGGAGTCAATAAGTTGAGCAAATTCCTAATTCTACTCAATATAAAACGTTAGCAATAAGCATTATAACAAAAACCACTTCAGATAAAAATGCAATGCAAGGCAAGACACTAATAGACCTTTGAACAAAAAAAAAAATCTGAGGTGTATCTAACAGAACTACCTCATCAATAGGAAGAAAAACTGGTACATACCTGTACATATTCCTTTCATGCAACATCTTGACCGGTTCAAGCTTGGATAGTACTGGAAGAAAAAATAAACAAAACAAATTAGAATTCAAGAGTGCAGTTACCCAGCAGAACCTAAGTCCATCCTTCCAAAGTATGTAGAAAACAGAACGAGACTAATTTCAATTAGTATGATAATGCAAATATATATATAGGAAATTGCACGGTATCACACTTTAATTTCAAAATTTTAACCCGACCTTATAAGTTATTGATTTACCAAACATATAACTACTTATATCTCCTTATAAGTTAATACTTATAAATTTTGTTGAGAATAAGTAATAAATAACTTATAATGACTCAAAAAATAAGTAGTAGTGAAACATGCTCAAAAAACAACTTATTTGTAAACAAACATCATACTTCGCTTACATGTAGATGAAATTTACTTTCGCACTTGGAGCAGGTTTGATATGAGGCAAAAGTGTATCGTAGTAAATGCTGCATGCTACACATTGTAGAAAATCCATTTCAAATAAATTTGTCAGGGCTATTTGCAATTTTCTTTCGAAAAATGTATTTCAAGTGCAATTCAATATTTGGTTAAAGACCAATCGGTGCAAAACCTGCGTTGGTTTCTCTAGATTGAATTATACAAAAAAATTATTTGATAAGGTGACATATTTTTCGTTATCAATTTCTTTTTTTGGAAAACTGTATCTTTTGCTCCCATCAAATCTGCATTTTTTTAAAACAAATTATGATTGTACTTATTTTTTCCGATTATAATTTAGCATCCAAAATATAGCAAATCTAAACATACGAGAATACTTACCTATGCAGCTGTATTTCCTGTCAACCAAATTAATGTATCTTTTAATAAAGCAACTTTCACAATTTTAGATCCATATCAAATACAGACAAATCCCCTCGTAAGGAATTACCAACAGTATCGCCACTCATGCCCTCACCTCCATCCACCTACCAACCATCACTATTTTAGCAATGCAGGACTTAATTTTTCACTAAAAATAGAATAAAGATATCCAAACAAACCAAAATATCAAGTTTCTACTTTTAGAACCAACATTCATCAAACATCAAAACAGAACAATAAATTAAATGAATATTCATCTAATACTTGATCACGAGCATCATCCTCATCGCGTTCAGCTAAGGACGAAGCGACCGAAACCCCCGCAGATTTCACAGTCAACGCCATATTCAAAGCACCATTAGAGACAATCCTCAAGTAGCTCGAGAAGCTCCTCATGAATCCATTGTTCCGTCTGGATCCTTGAGGCCTCTGCCCCTCATTCCTCATCCCAAACGATCACCAACAGCGCCAACCAAGCAATTGAGACCAAACCCTAGAGATCTCCCAATATCACAAAATCTTACAATCATAACCTCAGGCTGTTTCTTTGGCTCTGTAGAATCAACAAGAAACAGCCCCGATTCAGAGTCAAGTGTCGACATCCGCCATCTCCGATCAAATCCCAAACAATCGAGCCAGAAACTAACGAAATCTAAAGAACTCAGAGCAAATTTTTAGGTTTTTTGGAAAGCTCGGTTCATGAGGGAGTCGGCGAATCGGAGAGGCGACGAACAGGGGTTGAGAGGGGAGAAAAGGGGATGGCGTCGGTTTGGGGGAAAAATAAATGAGAAAAAAAACGGAAATCGAAAAAACACAGTACCCAAACACTCCCCCAGGTAATTAAATTTGGTGGAAGGGTATTTTGGGGAGGGTAAAGTTTTTTTAGAACTCCCTCTTTTAAAGGGTAGATAGATATATGTGTGTATATATATATATATATATATATATATATAATTACCTCACCTCAACGGTACTTATATCCTCACTACTAGCAGCAAAAGATCACCCTTCCTCGTGCTAGCTAAGACCGCTCCTTGTCTCCCACAGCACCAGCCAAACTTCTGTAACTTAGGGTGGCACGGCACCTAAGTCGTATCCATTGATGATCACCTTGATTGAGTCTACATGTATGGCATGATACCGTTGGGCCGTTCAAGCTTGTCTAGCACTATTCTAAAAACCCAACACAGCTAAATGTTGGGCGGGGTGAAACTCCGGCGTACGATCTTGACCCTTCATCCACTCGTGATCAATAATTTCAAACCAACGCGGTGCCCGTCCGGGGAAAACTCGCCGAAAACTCCTTGCCAAAAGCACAAGAACGAACTAGCTCGGGGAGAGGGCAGAAATTGCAGGCGAGGGGGCGCCGCGGTGAATGGTCTGTGGAGTACGGCGGAGGCTCGGGCGCGGGTCAGGAGTAGCCACAGCTACGTGCGGAGATGAAAGGGGATAACCTCATATTACAACCAAACCACAACCCTAGCTAAAGAAAAGAAAAAAGGTGAAAGGCAGCCCCGCACTGCCAGGGGGTTGACTCGAGAAGGCGACACGCATTGAGTCCGAGCAGAGCGACTCAAAGGCAACGGAGTGTGACACCGAGAGCAAAAGTGGGGCAAGGGGGCGAGCAGCCCAAAACCCAATGCACGGACGCTATGAAAACCACACGCAGACATATCGAAGAACGCCGGGACCAACAGAAGAGCCGTGGTCCGTCAAAGCAGGACCACAAGTAATGGAGTGCGAACAAGCCAGCTCAAAAGGCAACATAGTGAGGCCGAACAAAAGAGGCGGTCGACATTACGGCCTCCCCGAAAAAGTGCGTCCGCGGACAAGAAGAATCAGAGGAAAACAAAGAGTAGCAGGAGGACAGATATCAGCAAGAACTACGGCTAACAAGCCATGTTATACGTGGATGCCCACGCAACCTGAAGCAAATGGAACCGAAGTGACTCCGGCCAAGAAATCCAAAGAAGGAACCCCCCCCGAAGAGACCAGGGCGGGCTGAAAAGGCGGAAAGAAGGGACAAAAATGACCGCAGGCGCCGGAGACTGGTAAACGAAAGAGAATCACACCAAGACGCCGGAAGGCACGATGAAGCAGCACGTGCCAAAAGGCCGGGTTGAGGAAGGAGCCAGACTACAAAGGCGTGCGCCTCCGCGAAGAAATGCAGTCGGTCTCGAGGGCACACTGAACCATTCGAAAAAGGGGGAAGACCCCAGCTAACCCCCGAACGATGAA